ACACACACACACACACACACACACACACACACACACACACACACACACCATGGACCACCAGGCTTAATACAAGTGATCTCTGAGACCACTTCTACTAATTGAGCGGCGGCTTCCCCGATGTACATTTAGCCAAGCTTGCCCAAAGCAGGGCTAAATGTAGAAAAAACTACTCACCCGGTACTGTGTCGGGTGTCAAGTGATACAAATTTGACACCCCTGCCTAGGCTCGCGTGCCCAGGCTCGTGTGCCACTGTGGCGCGCGTGCGATAGGTTCGCCACCACTGTTCTAGGATATTATCAGTCGCATTCCAGGCTTCACGAGTCCTCTCTCTGCCGACACTTCCAGGTTTTGTGGTTCAGCTCTGCCCTACGCGTTATGTCAGTAATGACTTCATCAGGGGTTATGTGCAATTATCACATTTGAACATGCATCGGTTGTAATAATATACTTTCTGTTTTCACTAGGTGGATGCCAGGAATATTGATGGCAGTACACCCCTGTGTGATGCCTCTGCTGGACGCAGTCTGGAATGTATGAAGGTGCTTTTGGAATATGGTGCCAAAGTGAACCCTCCACTTTTTACAGCATCGCCCCTTCATGAAGCATGTATGAGTGGTGAGTGTGCTGCAGCTGGTCTCCGTCTTTCAACTATCTCCAGGGCTCAAATTAGTGTTTCTTATGCGTCAGTGTAAGAATTCTATTGGGATCCAGGTGATCACTTTGCTATTTTAAGTATTTGATGAAGGTGCTTACATTCTTTAGATCAGGCTCCCATAATTTAGAACCTGTGACAGGAAACACATATAGAAAAGCTGCAAATGTTAGTCATTTAGTAAAAGCCACAAGCCAGTTTTGCAGTTAAACACTGAGCTAAATTAGAAAGTGGTTGCCTCAGATAATTGAGATAGAGAATAATATACTCTGGGTATTGTTTAGATTTTTAAACCTTCCGATTACCTATCCCATTGCTATTACACAGGAGCACTAATACAGCTCATTCCACATGATAGGCTTTCCTGTAAAGTGACTTCTGACTAATTACAAAGTTTCACTCTTTCAGATGTTCACACCCTTAGCTCAGTCACCCTGCTACCAAATATAGCCTGTATTGACGAGAAGGATAATGTGGCTATTTTAAAAATGTGTTTGAGATCTACTTACAGTACATACTGTGCAGTTTGGTGCAAGGTAGAAAGTATATGTGAACTGCACATGTCCTTGCTAAGCATAATTAGTTCCAAGGTTCAAAATTACTCACATGTGAGTATAACTCATAAGACTAAACTGGCCATTGATGACTGCACAGTGCAGGACTAATAGCAGATTGGCTATATTGCCCAATACAGAGATAGTGAGGTCTTCAGTGGAAAGAAAGGTCTTTCGAAGAAACCTGGTGGATTGATCTGTTGGGTGGAAAACTGCACAGTGAAGTACAAGTATGGTCAGCTTTACTTTTAGTTACAGTATATATATCTTACTCATGTTTGAATTTTTGAAGATTTTTATTACGTGGTCTATCTTGTCATATCCTGTATAAGTGGTCTTTTCTAAACATTTTATAAATCATGGTGTCCCATAATGGACTTTGATATAATTCCTTAAAGGAGAACTATGAGATGAGTGCTTTTCACTCACCTCATAGTTCTAGCCGACCTGTGACAATGAGACTGTCACAAGTCGGCTCAGTAGATCGGGAGGTGAGCGAACACATACCGGGTTCGCTCGCCTCTCGATCCTGTCACGGCTCTCTGCCGTGGCAGGAGGAGGGGCTGGATTCCCCTCTCCCCGCTCCGATCTGCCAGCGCTGACTGGCGGAACGGACGGGGGAGGGGGCGGGTACAGCTGGCTCTGCCTCTAGATAGGCAGAGCCAGCTGTCACTCACGCAGCTGGGCGGATCCCGTCATCTAAGTCGGGATCCGCTCCGGCTGCGGCGTCTCAGTATACTGCGAGCTGTAGCTCGCGGTATACTGAGCTTAGGGTAACGGGAGGACGCTAGTTTGTGTCCTCCCTTTACCCTAAGGAGAACTATGGGGAAAAACACTGACCCCATAGTTCTCCTTTAATATCTCTCATTTGGTATCTCTGTGTATGCAGTGCAGTACATTACATACAGTATGCCATAATGTTTAACTCTGTAGTCTGTGCTGTACATTATATATTCCAGAATGCTCTACTGTACATGCTGTGCTGCATATTTTATAGTCGAGATGACGCCACTGTATGCTGTGCTGTACATTACATAATCAGGACTGCCGCAGTCTGAATGCTGTGTTGTGTATCACATACTCTGTAACAGACCATATAACTTTGAATGCTATACTGTATATTACACACTTTGGAAATTGTGCTGAATATTACATACTCCGGACCACTGATACCTGTAATTTTTATACACTGTTAGTTGCTTTTGTACACACATTCTGGGCCAATCAGTTGGGGCCAATCACTAAGAGGGGCACATAAAGTAGATAAGAATATCGGTTGTTTTGTCAAGATAGAATACAAAGAATATGTTTTAATTGAAATATCTTTGCAATACAGAAATGTAAATTTATGTTTCAGGCAGTGCTGACTGTGTAAAGCTTTTAGTTGAAATGGGAGCAAATCTGGAAGCTCATGATTGTCATTTTGGAACCCCTCTACATGTAGCGTGTGCAAGGGAGCACTTGGATTGTGCCAAAATTTTACTTGTTGCAGGTATGTACAAGTTTTTTCAAATTCTCACTTGCAGCATATTTCATTTCCATAAATTATTTTGTATTCGCTATCAAAGTGCCTTTGAACTTGCTAAAAAATGTGACTATTCCAGGAGACTCTCTATGCTGGCCCAGCATCTTCGTCCCTCCCTGCAACTCCCTACATATAGCTGCTGGGGGAGGACCGAAGGGTAATTCTTCTTAAGTGAGTCTGCTGGGGCTGCTGACATCACATTCAAGATGGCAGAGCTAGGCAGCAGTCTCAGGGCTTTTGGATGTCTGCACAAGTAAGGCTTTTACAGGTAAATAACATTCATAACGTATGTTAAATGCACTTATAATCTTTTGGGAATAGTTATGGTGAAATGAATGGTCTGGTAACAGGGTCTCTTTACCATACACCCAATTTAAGAGCATACCATTGTAAGGCTGGGCACACACCTTACAACCATCGCAAGACTTTTGTCTTGCGATGGTTGTAAGGTACTTAAAAAAACGTACGATCTGCCTATGTTGCATAGGCAGATCATACTTGCGATGATTGCAAGCCACGCCCCCTGAGGGGTGGGCTTCCGATGACCGCAATGCCGAACGGGCAGTGTGCGCTTGCGCACACCGGCCCGTCCGGCTTTTATCTTACGAACATGCTACACACCCGCCGAACATCGTACGATGCTCGGCGGGTTTTGAAACATGTTCGTAAGTTTAAAGTCATGCGACCTTACAGTAGTAGAGGTCGCACGGCCTCCACACACCTTACGATAATCGTACGATCACGGGATTTCCCGCGATTATCGTACGATTATTGTAAGGTGTGTGGGGACCTTTATAATGATTTTTATCTGTAAACTATAGTTAAATTGTTTGGTAATGTAAAGTGTATTGCATAGGAGGCATTGAAATCTAATACATAAGCTACATGGGCAATTGTTAGTAGTTTAGTCATGCTACTGAAAGGGCTAGCACTTGATTGCTAAGATTGGCTAATCAGATTAAACATATGGCTCCCTATGGTGTAATCCGGGTGTAGACAACCTTCAGCCCTCCAGCTGTGGTTCAAGTACAAATCCCTAGGTATTGCAAGACTCTGACAGCCACAGGCATGACTCCCAGAGGCAGATGCATGATGGAATCTGTGGTTTCACTATAGTTGGAGGCCAGAGTTTGCCTACCCCTGGAGTAAGCTATGTAGGTAACATACAGAAGCTAGTAATCTGTCACAAATACAGCATTGCAAAATCATGCTTGAATGATTGATACTGCACTCTACTTGCACAATAAACAACTATTTGTTCCACCTGTTTAGTGATTAATTGCTATTCTAAGCAGTTTTGGTAGCGTGATAGAGCTAGTAAAAAGTTCTTGTATAGCTCTAGCCTTTCTCATCTGAAAATGTATATTGTACCTGAAATTTGAAGGCAACGTGTGAAACCCACAAATAAGTTTTAAAAAAAAGGAATATCAATACATTACAGCTGTGCTAAAATCATAAAGTTGACTGAATGTACCTTAGTCTCTTTTCTCTGCAATCCTTAGCATCCACAGCACACACAGCCCATCTCATGGGATCAGTAGGACAGTAGGCTTTAGGCTTTCTTTTTTTTAGACCAATAACACATAATCAAAAGATTATATTCATCAAGCTGACCTCTTTGACTTATCTAAAAATAACATTGAAATGACTACATGCCTTTTAAACCAAGTAACAGGTGCAGAGGACCACCTATGTCCATCTACTTGTTACCTTGTAAAAATCAGTCTGTAAAGCACTACCTAGCTATTTCAACTTTCTCCCTAGACATTTTCACTCTCTATCCTTCCAGATATGTTCTTTTTTTTTGAAGGAAGGATCACTGTTTTAAGTGTTTTATTATGCACAATCAAATTTTCTTTTATATTTTTATATAAAATAAAGATGTAATCTGAACCTACTTCTGTGCCATATCAGTGGTGTTTTTGATACCTTAAAAGCCCTTATCTTTGTCACATTATTATAATTTCGTCTTAGGGTGTGGTATCGCCTTTGCTCCATATTTATCCCCAAATTTTATATATAGCATTCTATATTTGTGTTGTTTTAAATAGTCATTTGTAGATTAACTACTACGGGGCAAACTCTACCAACCTGCTTAGTCGTTGATTAGTTAAAATATCAGCCACACAGGTAATGCTTTTTGTTCAGTGAGTTAGTTGACCCGCATGAGTAAATATGGCTACCTAAAATACATATATATAGATATATAATTACAAAGTTTACATTAAAAAATGTTTCTTTTTTTTAGACCAATAACACATAATCAAAAGATTATATTCATCAAGCTGACCTCTTTGACTTATCTAAAAATAACATTGAAATGACTACATGCCTTTTAAACCAAGTAACAGGTGCAGAGGACCACCTATGTCCATCTACTTGTTACCTTGTAAAAATCAGTCTGTAAAGCACTACCTAGCTATTTCAACTGTCTCCCTAGACATTTTCACTCTCTATCCTTCCAGATATGTTCTTTTTTTACCTTGCCCAGCTGCTTTATGTTCTGTCAAGGCAACCACTTTTTTTACTCTGCCCAACTGCTTATGATATCTCCAGATTTTAATGTCATTTGTACTAATGTTTATGTGTTAACTTTTTGTGTTTAAGTAAATAAGGTGTTGATTTATGAAGCATTTGCATAGCCAGCAGCTCTGTGAATGAGATTCACAGTGCATTATGGCCACTAGATAGAGCCGAGGAGCATAGAACATTCCTATGGACCTTGGCTCAATCTGGTGTCCATAATGTGCTGTAAAAGTTGTTCGCTATGTAAATGCTTTAAAAATCCTCCCCCATGTGTTGAAACTCCAGTACTGCAGCTTTGTTCCCCAATTGCTTGCCACTCCCCAGTCTGTCATCAGTTGTCCGGAAAGTTTTACGACTCGAGTCCTATGTGACAGCGCTCTCCCGGGGGTGGGGGAAAAAGAAAACACAAGGGGGGGAGGGGAATTATTATTAAACTCCTCCGTTGGGTGTCACAACGGAGGAGTTTTTCACACACATCCTGTGTGCCTCAAGCCATTCTGGCTTCAACACCCCTCAACCTCTCAATCCAATTGGTTGTAGCGCTTCAGACTCTGTTTTTTGCTCTGTGTCATCAGGTGTCTGCCCACCTTGCTTTCAGCACATTGTTCATCTATGTTTTGCATGGGCACCAGGAAATTGCATTGAAAACTCATTACTGTGGATATTAAGACAACGATGGGTTCTGTCTAGTGGTCAGGCGCCTCATATACAGTATATGCATCATCTATCATCTATTCACAGTGATACGTTTTCAATGCATTTTGCTGGCTCCTGTGCCAAAACTAGATGAACAGTACAACACCCTGACTGCTGATAGACTGGGTGACATGGGAAGCAGAACTTTTTTCCCCTCCCAAAGCAATCAGTGATGTCAGGCTGGCAACAAGAAGTTACGTTGCTTAATAACTAGACTTTAAAATCATGTTATTTTAATGTACAGTAGTTCAATGTAGTTTAATCTGAAATGAAATTTAATTTCCAGAAAGAGGCCCAAAACATTGTGGTACATTACTATTTCACCTGAGGCTAGGTTCACACCTGGGCAACTGAGCAGGTGAGCGGTTTTCATGCGTTTTCGTTTGCGCGACTGTTCTTTGAAAACCGCACGGTTTTTTAATGCATAGAGATGTCTATGGGACCCAAACCACGAGTCAACCACCCGAAAATAGCTCCTTTTTGCGCGACAGGCGATTTTGTCCATGCGACAAACCGCAACGGTCTGAACAGCCTCTATTGACTTCAATGCGACTCTGTGTTTTGTGGAATATCGCGCGACTCAATTCGAGCAATAAATCGCCTAGGTCTGAACCTAGCCTGATACTGTATACAAAAGATACAGTCTTAGGGCTTGTTCACACCAAGTGCGTTCCAGGAGCAGAGCAGTTACAGACCGGATCAAAACTGCATCCAATGTATTTCAATGGTATTTTGGGCTCTAGTTCACACCGCAGCGTTCAGTTCCAGAGCATGTAAAAAAACTTCAGCAAGCCCTATTTTTCCTGCTCTGGAACACTCTGGAACGCATGCAAACGCATCAAAAATGCATGCAAACGCCCTAGAACGCACTGAAAGCCCATTTTAAACTAAAAAAAAAAACAAAACATTTTTTTTAACCAAAAACAGCCCGGAACGCAATAAAAAACGCGGTATAGCACACTGCACTGCAGTGAATTTTGTGCTTTTCCTGAATGTCTACTTTATAGTTACTTCCCAGTCCAAATGATGAAAAATGAGGCCTGTCTGCTCCAGACCTCAATTATTTTTCATCCAGGCACTGTGGTAATAGACAAGTTCACTCCACTTCACTTGCATTGGTAATACAATGATTTCAGAACCTGTTTTAGCATACGTTCTTAGGGAAGGACAGATATTCCCAAACACACCCAATTACAGACTCTTTGCTATCGCTCACAAACAGAAAGCCTGATGCGTCAAAGTGTCGATACTAATAATTTCCTTACAGCCACCATTTATATTCCTACCTGCCTTGGAATTTTACATTTGATTGGATATGAATTAAGCAGAGAGAAAGTCACACTGCACAGGTCACAGAAAGCATACCAGCTCACTATACATATAAGCAGCTGTGTGAATTTTGATGGCAGTGGGCTGCATGGTCTTTAATTAATGGCGTAGTGAGTGGATATTGTGATTTGTACACATTTGCAGTGTTTAGTGGATAACAGCAGTTCAGTGAGTGGTTAATGTAATCCCAGGAATTTCTCTTTAACAAAAATGCTTAATTTTGACTGTGAAGGTGTAAAATATCACTTGTTAGGAAACGTTATAGGGAAATGTAAGACTAACAGGGTTATTCACAAAAGGGTGAAGAGTTTGGAGAAGGCAGGAGAAGTGAACAATCTAGGACAACATAGCAGATTTGGAAAAATTCTCCAATTCAGCTCACTTTCCAGTTCAGCTATGTTGTCCTAGATTGTTCACTTCTACTGCCTTCTTCAAACTCTTCACCCTTTAGTGAATAAATCTGTGAATTTTGGGTCACCTCTGATTCGACCCATTTTTCTCTAATAAAACCACTAAAACCCCTTTTGGTTTTTTTAAAGTGTTTATCAAAGTGGTTTTTATTAACGTTAGTGTTAATTAACTTGTAATTTTTTGTTTTGTTTTACCTAAAGGAGCAAAGGTAAATGCAGCAAAGCTTCACGAGACAGCACTGCATCATGCTGCAAAGGTGAAAAACAAGGATCTGATTGAGATGCTGGTTGACTTTGGAGGAAATGTCTATGCAAGGGACAATCGTGGAAAAAGCCCTTCAGATTACAGCTGGCCAAACAGCCCGACAGCTAAATGCTTTGAATACTATGAAAGTAAGTTAATATATTTCTTGTGTGTGTTACAAGGTCATAAGATACATCAGATCACGGGATACATCAAGATTTTACATGATAAACAATCATGTAAGTTGTAAATAGTTTTCCTTAGTTGGCATGCATGGGATGTAGTATTGTCAAAGGTTTTTGGGCTCTTGCACACGACTGCAAGAGGGCCGTACAGCACATTTTCCGGTGCACTGCTCTATGCTAGGAGTGACAGGGGTGCCATACAGCTGCATGCAGCCAACCTGTAGAAGTCAATGACAGACTGGCTGAAGATGCTGCTGTATGGGTATGTACATAAAAACCACTCTTTACATATGTATCGAGACTTACGCACTGCACCTGGTGCAGTCAGAGCACCAGGCGCAGTGTGCCTGTGCTCTGCCTGCGTGCGCAGTGGGCCTGTGCTCTGCCTGCGTGCTCAGTGTCTGTGCTCTGCCTGCGTGGGCAGTGTCTGTGCTCTGCCTGCGTGCACGGTGTGCCTGTGCTCTGTATGAGTGCGCAATGTGCCTGTGCTCTGCCTGCGTGCGCAGTGGGCCTGTGCTCTGCCAGAGTGCTCAGTGTCTGTGCTCTGCCTGTGTGGGCAATGTCTTTGCTCTGACTGCGTGCACGGTGTGCCTGTGCTCTGTATGAGTGCGCAATGTGCCTGTGCTCTGCCTGAGTGCAGGCTGTGCCCGTGCTCTGCAGGCATACGCGGTGTGCCTGTGCTCTGACTGCGTGCGTGGTGTGCCTGTGCTCTGACTGCGTGTGCGGTGTGCCTGTGATCTGACTGCGTGCGCTGTCTTGGTGCTCTGACTGCGTGCGCAGTATCTGTCCTGTGACTGCGTGCACATTGTCTGTGATCCGACTGCGTGCGCATTGTCTGTGATCCGACTGCGTGCGCATTGTCTGTGATCCGACTGCGTGCGCATTGTCTGTGATCCGACTGCGTGCGCATTGTCTGTGATCCGACTGCGTAGCTCTGACTGCGTGCGCAGTATCTGTCCTGTGACTGCGTGCACATTGTCTGTGATCCGACTGCGTGCGCATTGTCTGTGATCCGACTGCGTGCGCATTGTCTGTGATCCGACTGCGTGTGCATTGTCTGTGATCCGACTGCGTGTGCATTGTCTGTGATTTGACTGTGTGTGCATTGTCTTTGATCCGACTGCGTGTGCATTGTCTGTGATTTGACTGTGTGTGCAGTGTGTCTGTTCTCTGATTGTGTGTGCAGTGTCTTTGATGTCTATGCATGTTCACTGAGGCTCTAAAGCAGAATGTGTGCATGTAAGCTTCTAGTGCTGCTGACAGAAAACAAAAATAACTCATGTCTTTTTATATTATACACAGTACTAGATAAACTTTATACCTGACACTTACCTTTTTTTTCTGTTCAATTTCAGAGATGCCTAGAAGTTTATCTCAGTTGTGCAGACTCAAGCTCAGAGAAGCCCTCGGTCAGGGAGCAGTCGAAAAAGTTTATAAATTAAATATACCCCAAAGACTTATGGAATATGTTGCTTATAACTGAATCAGTAAACATGTACACAGCCAACGCTCTACATGAAAATCCCTCTGTAGTTGAGACCATGTGAAAATTGACTTAAGAACATCATGGGCTCATTTGTGAAGACGTCATATTAAATCCATAACTGATTCTTCATGTGGAACAGAAGCAGCAGTCAGTGTATTTCATGTATGGTACAGGCACTCATCACAAAATCCATGTCATCCTGTTTGCATATTTTTATCTTAAATGAAAATTACTGATCTTATTTTATTTTTGTAAAATACATTTGTGAAATGTAAAATAGCTATAGGTGTTTAGGATTACAAGAACCATGAGAAGCAGAGTAAATAAATCACAGGAAGCACATACACTGTATTAATATTTGAACGTCAGGCAGATATGCAAACATCATTTACTGCACTTATGCTTTCCTTTGAAATGGTTAAATGTGTTTTACATACGAACCTTCTGTCATCCCTTGTACAGCAGCACTCAGACTAGGAGAGAGAAGCTGGATGCTAATCAGACATTGTTGCATGCATATGTGCTATAAGGGAACATACTGACAGGAGGCAAGAGCAGAGTCAATGGGGTTGATTTACTTAAGGCAAATAGGCTGTTCATTTTGCAAAGGAATTTTCCCCTAGCCTTAGTGAATGAGGTGAAGCTCTTATGTCTTGCATCATCCAATCATGATCAAGCAAAAAAACTTTGTTTTATTTTCCTTGCTTGTGATTGGGTATTCTTTGCAAGGTGAACTTTCACCACACTCACAAAGCTAAGGGAAAATTATCTTGAAAAGCGAACAGCCTATTTCCCTTCAGTAAATCAACCCCATTGGCTGCTCAGTGTGCTGCTGCTCCCTCATTGTTCAAATGCCAGGCTGCAGGTAGGGAAGTTACGCTACTGTCATTTTTACAGGAAGTGGTGACACTCCTGGTTGTTATGTCTGGTAGAGGTACTGTATATAAATCACAGAGGTGCTTGAGAAAATAATAAATATATTGTACAGACTACAGTTTACATATGTGTATTAGCTGTGTATTTAACTGTTTGACTGGTGTTTAGCTTGAACGGCTCATGCAGACACAGAAAATTCTGTGTTGAGCTAAAGTACGTGTCAGTTGCTGTTACGGTAACTTATATGGAGAATATGTTTAGGACTGAGTGCCCTAGTGTTTATCCAAAAGGAGAGAGAGGTTTTGGCTCAATGATCTTGCTTTTTTTCCCTAAGAGACGAAAGCCACATGTACTTTACCATGACTGCATGGAGCCATCACTGCCTTTCTAGTACTGAGTAATATATAATATGCATGTTTTTATTAGTTTAAATTAAAGATTTAAAAAGCCAAACTGTGTGACAAGTGCAATAATGTCAATCAATATGTACAATAAATATAAAAAACATGGTATGAAGACTTTCTATTGTCTAGAATAATTTAAAATATAATATTTGTTAAAAAAAAGGACCCAATGGAAATCAAAACGCATATTGTTGTCCTTAGTTTTTTTTCAAGACTATTATGTTATTTCAAACTATCAATAAGTTGTTGGGACCATGTTAGACTGAAACATATCAGACAGCTATATTCATGCTGAATGAATTTCAGCAGAGCACATTCTGTTCCTGTGACATTGGTGACTCATGTTCTTCTCAGATTATTTGCAAGCATGCTGCATCTTGCAACACATGGACAAACTAAACATATTTATATTGCAACACAACTATTTCATTCACTTGTGAATTTAAAACTGATACTGTCTAATTCAAACGGATACATTTCATCAGAGATCTCATTCTCTAGAACAGTGGTTCTCAACCTGTGTAACCTCGGGACCCACATTTTTCCTTGGTCATTAAGTCGTGACCCAAAAATGATTCATTTCTGAGACATTTTCATTTATTACACAAAACAACTTGTGCACGATTCAGCAACGTATATATATATATATATGCACATTTTAAACATTATTGGGGGTATAACAAGTGAAAAATGCATATCTGGCATCATTTTCTTGCTCTGCATTTTTTTAAATATTATTATTATACTATCTTTTCATACTTTCTGTACATACTGTGCTACATTTGGAATGATAGGAAACATAGTTATAGGTGATGAAATATCTACCCCCGATGTTTTTATTTAGGTGATGTTTATTTTGTTCAGTTTCTCTATATGAAGTATAGTAATAGTACAAACTATAAAGTCTTTAGTTAACGTGGAACTATGGGCAAAATCGAAAGTTGCACATACTATATGATGCAGTCTGTCACTAGCATAAGGGCCTGTTCACACCACCTCCGTGCTTTAACCACACGTTTCCATTAACACACAGCAAAGAGGAAGTCATGCGGTCCCACAACTCGATAAGTTCGTAGTTTTGATCGATCACCGGCACCCGCAACTTCCCCACAAGGTCACCGCTGCCGCCCGTCGGCGCTCTGCCGCCCCGAGGCCGGGCCTCGGTGGCCTTGTCGGAAATCCGGGCCTGCACACAGCACTGCACAAGGCACATCCCGTGAGATTACAGTGTGGGAGATGCGTTGCATGCCATTCATTTGAATGGCACCCCAAATGCACTTCCTGCCTGCAGTGCGATCAGCCGTGCCACAATGCGTGTACCGCAATTACCGTGCGTTTGAAAAAATAGTGCATGCAAAGTGGCTTTGCAGTACGTGCATTATTCACAAAGAACCATGCGATCAATGCACAGAGGTGGTGTGAACGGGACCTTAAAGTGGAACTATACTCACCTCCGATCCAGAGGTGCGACATGCGCAAGCTTCCTTGCATCTGACATCTTCTTGTCTGCATTATCTGAGTTTAGGATCTTCAGCCATTTTGAATGGCTTTTTTTCCATTAGGGTCAGGGGACATCTAAGGCCAACTTTGACTGTCCAGGCTGGGATGTTACCTCACCCGCATGGAAGTTATTTCATCCTGGTGAATAGCAGAAGCCAGGATTGTACACTGAGCTTTGCATGTGAAGCTCAGTGTACAGTGAAAACAACGTATGAGGAGGCAGATAAGAATAATTTATTGTAGAAGATAAATAGTATGTCTCCTATGCAACAAAAACCTTCTTGCTTTCAGATTTGAGAATTTTAACTAATGTTTAACTAAACTATATATATATATACATATATATCAAAACACAACAGGGTCTTTGACGCACATGAGACCAATCAGATGCTGCCCCCAAATTTTTGAAAAACCAACACTGGTATTGATTGCTTCTTTGCCTTCTGAAAGATAGCTATGAAGGACGTGCATTTCCCACATTATTATTTTCTCACATTATATTAGGTGTTCCTGCCATCCTAGCATGCACTGTTCTTTTGCAATATTGACAACAGAGAAAATCTTAAATGTGTGCGTGTCCTCTGCTGCCGCCTTTCAATGTCAAATAGCAATCAATCTCGCATGATAAACACAATCCTGTCATGTGTGATTGATCACTACAAGATGCTACTGAATACCAATTGTGTAGCTTGTTCCATAGGAAGCCATGTATTCGATCTGTTTGCTTTCGATTGCTACCCATAGCAATTAAACACTAGTGATGTCTGCAGCATAGTTTAACTTATTTTTAAATTCCCTGTTTAGTCTAATGAAGTGACTGGCAGCAAGTGGTTACATTTCTCAGTTACAGGAAATTATAATTGCGAATGTAGCTTAGCCCCTAGAAGTGACTCATAAGATTACCAAAAGGGTCACACACTGAGCTTAATTTCGGCAGGCCAAAATTTGTGCTGTGTGTGGCTCTTGCGGCATCAGTCTGTAAAAAAACTGACCTTTATCAAAGGAGCCGGTCTGAAAACTGTGGGTGCCTGCTGTCGGAATGCAATAGCCTGTCAAGATAGGTCCCCCCATCCAAGCTGTTAAGCAGGGAAATTGGGTGTATGAGGCTGGGCTTGGTGCGAACCCAGTTTGCCTTTGTTCACCCAATCCAGTTCACAACTCTGACCGCCATCCCCTCCTCTCGACCCAAATCAAAATCGGCTGTTGCGCTGGGGCATTCTCTGTCCCTTTGTGACGTACAGCAGCATGGCAGGCAGTGCGCCTCCCTACAATTAACTGGGCAGGAAGGAGGGGGTGGCGGTCAGAGTTTTGTTTTGAACGGGCCTGGCGAACTGGGTTCATACCAAGGCTCAGCCTCATATCTAATGGCCATCTTTAGAGATTTGTTTCAAAAAAACTGGGGGGGAAATGTAATTTGACTATGTATCTCAGTGCAGAAGTCTGAGAGAAGAAGTAACCAATCACAAAAGCAAGAAATTACATTTGAGGAAAGGAAGGAAGCAACAATTTGTAAAAATATTTGTAAAAAAAATGACGACATTAGCAGATTCAAGTCCAAATGTCGTTTTATAATAATAATAATAATAATCCTCATCATAATTTATTTATTGGTTTCAGGTATTTATATAGCGCCGACAACTTACACAGCGCTTTACACAGTGTACATTCACATCAGTCCCTGCCCTCAAGGAGCTTACAATCTAAGAAGGTTTCATATTGAATCAATGCTCATTTCTTTTTTTCCCCTGAAAAAATACAGAGTTTAAAGATAACAATTATACTGTACCTCATCTAAGGCATCATTCACACTGTAATTGGCCGGCACGTACAGTTCCGTGCTGCATGCAGGGCCGTATCAAGCAGCTCCCGAGAAGGACAGGTGCTGCGTGTGATTAGTACGTATCCCCGTCCTTCTCTATGGGACTACGCAGCCGTACACCCCCCTACGCTCACCAGCCCTGCACGTCCGTGCAGGTGAGCGTACTTGACGTGACAGGGTGGATCCTGTCTGCGTCCGAGCCAGGAAACATGCACCCCAACAGACCTGCACTTGGGGGTGAGCGTAATCAGTCCCATAGAGAAGGACGGGGGCTGCGTACTAATCACACGCAGCACCTGTCCTTCCCGGGAGCTGCTCGATACGGTCCTGCACGCAGCACGGAGCTGTACGTGCCGGCCGAGTACAGTGTGAATGAGGCCTAAAAATGTAGGCTCTGAGGCATACTAGCAAAGAACTTACAAGGTTTGTAT